GCCTGACGCCGCAGCCGCCGCCGGAGCTCTGTAGTATGGCATCGAGGAGAATGGAGACCAAACCTGTGATAACCTGTCTCAAAACCCTCCTCATCATCTACTCCTTCGTCTTCTGGGTGAGTGCACACGCTGGGCCGGTGGCCGAGCCGTGGTCCATCAATCCGTGTGAGAATGCTCTGAGAAAGGAAGGGGTGGTGGTGGAGTAGCCAAACCAAAAATTAAATCTTGGCCCCCTCTTTAAGGAGACAGGTTCAGGGTGCTGGGTCGGGGCTGCAGGATGGCAGGGTGCAGGTCGGGGCTGTTCGGACTCTGGGCCCCACCCGGAGCAGGCTGCAAGAGGCTGTGCGGTGGCAGTTTGTCGACCTATCCAACGTTTTTTTCCCGAGATCAGACTCCAACATCTTTTTTTTTTTTAATGCATTAATTTCTCTTTTAAGCTCTCGGGATAGTCCAGTCCCTAGGGAAAGTTGCGGGTTTATTCGTCTGTTTTCCTCTCTGGATACCCCTTGCTACCGTCCCTTACCAGCCCATTCGTGACGCCTCTTGGAGCTAACCTGTGGCCGTCTAGAAGCGGGCGCGGGGTCGCGGGTTTTAATCCCAGACTCCCAGTTATTCCCGACCCCACAGGGCTGCAGGAGGAAGGCGCCGGAAGCCCGGTGCCTGCCTGGCTGGGCAGGGGCGACCCCACCTTGGTCTGTGTGACTATTTGTGTGAGACGGTTGTTGATTGACTCTGAGAGGCATGTTCATTACAGTGTGTCTGCTGCTAATTGGTTGACTTTGAATTCTATGAGGCTGTCATTGGTTTCCAGAAGTGTGTTCCCTGAAGCAAGTTGAGTTGCCATTGATGATTAGACTGAGGTGAATTGTCATCGTATAACTTCGTATAATGTATGCTATACGAAGTTATTACGGGAGGGAAGAGGGTCTTACATAAGCCAGGGGCGTCTTTGAGCTTTGTCGGTGACCCAGGAGATGGGTCTTACGACCTTTTCCCCACCCCCGTCCATTTTTATTACTCCCTGATCATTCTGTCACTGCGGGAACCCAAACCGCAGCGCCCTGGAGGAGGACCCCCGCCACTTGGTGATAGCAATAGCGCCCCAACTCTACTCCTCATCTAACCGGTGCTGCCACCCGTCGTTGAGGCTCAATGCAAAAGGATGACGTCAGCCCCTCAGCCGGGGCCGTTGGGGGCTGCGTGGTGCACCTCGGGGAGGGATGCGCCCTTCTGCGCGCGCTGGGAGGAGGAGAAGGCAGAGGGAGGCGGAGGAGGGGGCTCCAGGCTTGTGCCTTACCTCATCCTGTTTGGAATTAGTGCAGGGCTGACACTGCAGTGATTCACGTGGAGTGGTGGGTGGTACCTAAGACCTTTTCCAGTTCTTTCTCTTTCCATGTAGGCGACCCCCCTTTTCCCCTCGTTTCTCATTCCCACACCAAGCCACAGCCACCCTGCAGGGGAATGAATATCTGTACCCCTTCCCCCCACCCCAATAATCTGGGTCATTTCAGCTTCCAAGGTAGTCATTTTGAAACCTGAGGCTCTGAGGGAAAAGCCAGTCCAGCCTTTGGTTGTTTTTCTCCTTGTCCCCCCACCCCTATATTAGCCCTAATTTTGCTTTGAAACTGAAGCACAGTGTTATATGAGATACCCAGACCTGGCTTGATGGTGAACTGGCTGTTTTCAATGGCCAACGCAGGAGCCAAGATTTATTAAGGATTAAAAAAAAAGAAAGAAATCCCTAATGCCCCCTGGGTATTTCCTTGTCACTGGCATTGGTGATTCTTCAGGTCAAGGAAACTATGGACTCCTGGGACCAGAGATACGAGGAGCTATGTAATGAGATAGGATAGATTAACTGGTGTATCGCAGAAGGCAAACACAGAAACGGGCTTTATTTGGACTGAAACGACACAGGTTGAAATATCTCAGTGGTGGAATTGTGAACTATGTACAGATCATATCATCTTATGTATGTTTTGCCTGAAAAAGCAATAACACATGCTGATTACTGAAACTTCCCAGTAGCCGTTCCTGGGAACTGGTTTAGCTTTTTATGTATTTCCTTAAACCTCTTTTGTTTGGCCCTTTATTATTTACTTGACTTCCTATTTGTTACTGGAGTAAATCATATGGGAGATTATTTTTAGGTTCCTGAAAAATAAAGTTTGCAGTGCACATGAAGGAATATCGTTCTTTCAACATCACTGCAGGCTGGTGAAGAAAGGGGCCTTCCAGGCTGAGGCTTTTCATATGAGCTCTTTGACTCTCCTTGCTTACATCCCCATCCCATGGGTGAATTTAATTCCTTAATGCCCCCTAATAAATCTTAAGCAATCACTGTATTTTATATCCTCCAGGAGTTCCTTGATGCCTGCATTTTAATTTTTTTCGACTTTCAAGATTTTCATAGGCTTAAAATATTTACCTGGAGCATTTTCAATAGTTTAAATAGTGGTCAATAATCATTTCCTACTTCACAACCAAAAGAATGAGATCTCTCCAGATGTGAGGGTATTATAAACAAGACATGGTTCAAATGCTGTGTTTTCCATTGTACCTTAAATGCCATTTGTTTTTTTTTTTAAAGCAGCTTTATCAAGACATAATTCACTTGCCATAAAAGTCACCCATTTGAAGTATAAAATTCAGTGGGTTTTAGTATATCATAAGTAGTATAAATTTAGTATATTCATAGATATATGCAATCATCAGCCCAGGAAATTTTAGGACATTTCATCACTTCAAAAAAAAAAAACCCTGTCCCTTTAGCTGTGATCGCATTCCTCCCCCCCCCCCCCCCCCCCCCCCCCCCCCCCCCCC